GGATAGTGTTCTGTCTGTGGGATAAACCTCGACACTGTGTGTCACATGGCAAAGACAGCATTGGCAGAGCAGAAATTTGATGATGTAGTCAGTCTAATGCTAGACTCTGTTTCTGTTGCACTTGCAAAACTGTGGAACTCCGCACACATTGCCTCGGCTCTTCTCACACAACTCATTTAATTTTTTTTCTGCCACCCTAAACATTCTTAGGTCTCAAATCAAAGAAATAAAAGCCCTTTCCTCATTAAATCCATATGACGCAAATTACCTGCATTTTGAATGAGCTTTCGAGCGTTGTTTTGTTTTGTTATTCTTGCTGTAGGATTGTTTACAAAGTGGTGGAAATATTACATAATTAGAATTTAGAAAAGGTTTACATCTTCAAATGAGAATTAGCTTTGGATTCTACATGCTTCCTTTTTTGATAGACAATTGGTAATTTGTTTTTTTGCAAGCATTTAAAAGCAAATTATTAATTTTGACTTCTTTGTTTGTATACAATATCGGCATTTGCTTTAATTAGTAATCTGGAGGCATTCTCCAATGATTATGCAGTATGCAGGGACTAAGTTTTGTGGGCTGGATAGTGTTCTGTCTGTGGGATAAACCTCGACACTGTATGTCACATGGCAAAGACAGTATTGGCACAATCCTTTAAAGCAGAAATTTGATGATGATAGTCAGTCTAACTAGACCCACTTTTTTGCACTTGAAAAACTGTGAAACTTTGCACACATTGCCAGAGCTGCTCTTCTCACACGGCTCATAATTTTTTTTTATCTATTTAATAGTATGTATCTCTATATTTATCTATAAAGTGCCCTATCCTGAGACATTGCTTGGAACCATGTAGATAAGGTACACAGGTGGTCAGTACTTAACTACAGGTGCAAAATATAAGAGTTGATGCACATAAAAACAACATATTTTGAAGAATGTACAGGCCTTTGAATTTTATCACACATTTGGATAAATCTGTATGGGGTATTCGGATGTCCTCCTACTCAACAGGTCCGTGGAGAGCCTGAAATTGAATGTACAACTACTAACAAATGCCCCAAATATAGTCTTGGAAGAATTTCCTTTGAAACAAAAAAACTGCGCCACGCCTGCCCTTCATATGCCTTTCAATGTTTATGTGAATTGTCTATAGGAAGGGCAGTTATAATCTACAAGGTAGAAACATACAAATTCTGTTTCTGTGCCTGCCCTTCATATGCCTTCCAATGTTTATGCGAATTGTCTATAGGAAGGGCAGTTATAATCTACAAGGTAGAAACATACAAATTCTGTTTCTGTGCCTGCCCTTCATATGCCTTCCAATGTTTATGTGAATTGTCTATAGGAAGGGCAGTTATAATCTACAAGGTAGAAACATACAAATTCTGTTTCTGATTGATCCATAACCTAATTGGTTGACCAATGGAGCTCATATCTGCCACCCTAAACATTCTTAGGTCTCACATCAAAGAAATAAAAGCCCTTTCCTCATTAAATCCATACGACGCAAATTACCTGCATTTTGAATGAGCTTTCGAGCGTTGTTTTGTTTCGTTATTCTTGCTGTAGGATTGTTTACAAAGTGGTGGAAATATTACGTAATTAGAATTTAGAAAATGTTTACATCCTCAAATGAGAATTAGCTTTGGATTCTACATGCTTCCTTTCTTGATAGCAAATTGTTAATTTGTTTTTTTGCAAGCATTTAAAAACAAATTATTAATTTTGACTTCTTTGTTTGTTTACTATATCAGCATTTGCTCTAATTAGTAATTTCATGTGTTATAATGTGAATATTGTCTGTCTTTGCAGAATACACTGTGAACATAATTGACATGGCTCTGTACATTGCAAAAAGTAATATGAAAGAGTACTTTTACACTGCTGACATAATGTGCGATCTGGGATCAATTGCTGGGAAATTACCGAAACCAGACAAAAATTAGTTCTTTTCCAGTTTACTCAGCCGATTCAACAGAAATAAAATATAGCCATACATTTTACACTTTTTTATAAGAACCATTCAAATTATGCCCAGTCTCACTGTTATTATTTTTTGCTGATTCCAGGCTAAAAATTTACTTGCTGTATTTTGTTCTTAATTTCACACACTTTTCAAACAGAAAATTATTATTGTACAGCAGTACATTACTGTGCTATAGAGGTTATTAGATAGTCAAGCCTACTGCAAATACTTACAGATCAGATTGGTTGTTTTTTCTATTAAAAACAAAGAAGTAAAAACCACATTTGACATTCTACCTCAGCCTCAATTCGTTCTTATAAAATGTGCTCTTATAAATAAAAAAAAGTGTATTGCAGATCATCATTCCGCAAAATTCTAGGACTTGTATACATGCTGGGATGGCTTATCCTCAAACTGGGCTTTAATAGTTGGAAAAGCTTTTGGTTTATGCCTGATTGTACTTCAAACATTTCTGATCTGAGGTAGTTCTTGTTATCTTCCATAGTAAAATACCTACTGCATATCTTGTGACATGGTTTACAAACTACTTCTTCCTTATATTAACAAATTATAAGTAATCAAGCTAATGGAACATAATATGTAAAAACAAAGCATTCCTTCAAAGCTAAACAGTACCAATATGAACACTTTGTAATAACAATTTCCACCTCATTCAGCATTTGGCTTGTGGTATGTCCAGGCACAATAGCACCAACATGATGTTGACCAAATACAAGTTCATAATGGTACTGACCGGGTGTTGATGTTAACTACTTATTCACTTACTAGCTTTGTTGGTGTGTTATTCGATAACCCTTCAATATAACCTGTCAATCAGCTTCTTTTTTTATATTTAATACACTTCCACATTTTCCAAGGGATCTCCTCACTATCATCTCATTGTTCATCGCGGGCTTCCGTTCTGAGCATTCGCTTGATTGTGTCGTTATTTTTGTCATGGCCATTATTTAAAATATGGCTTGCAAAGTGTAATATTCTCACCATGGTCTTGGGACTTTGCACTTTGGTACTGCTGCCTAGCTGGGCCTACCTGTACTACAGCTGTAGGCTAGGTAGGAGGCCTACTCAAACTTTGTACTTTACATGAAAACCAACTTCTTTTAGACTATAAAGAGTAAATGTGAATAGGCTTAGGCCCTTCTTAAATGAATATAATATTTCTAGTCTAATATTTAGAGCATAATAATAATGTAGAACTACTATAACTTCCATGGAACAGAAGCATGCAAATACAACATCTCCACTTCTTTTTGGCCACTTCTGACATGACATCATTCACACCTGTTCTCCGTCTTATTCCTGTACATGGTATTCTATCTAGAATCCTATGTGTAACATGCGTCTCCATGTCTCGTTGTGTTACTTTTAATTTTTCCATGATTTTCTTTGTGAGGTGCCAGGTCTCTAACCATATGTCATAACCGGTATCACACGCTTAAACACATTGGGATTTTATGATTTTGAAGAACGTCTTTGTGTTTAATACTGAACTTGTCACCAGTAAAATGTCATCCGCAAACCAGACTAGGAAAAGGCTAAGTTCCCTAGCCACAGCGCCTGCCTTGGCTCACCAGGCTAGGCCGTAGTATGCTATGGTCCGGGAGGGACCTAGCTACACTATAACCTATCAGTTGACAAAGAAAACATACACTTACAAGTATGGCTGTGGATTGCAACTTTTTGTGTTGTGTTTTTTCACAGTTCATTCCATAGTGACGTCAAAGGTAACCATGGGGGGACAAGGGGTAAATATCCATCTGTGGAAAATCTTTCCCCACCCCTTGAAGATGCCGTTTTCATCCCCTGAAAGTGCCTAAAGATCTCTAATTTCGCGTGCTTCGCGCACATTTATTGTTTATTAGTAGGCCCGTTTTCTCTAAAAATTGCACATCTTTTAGGGAGTTTTGATCAATTTCGACGAAAATTTAAAAACACAAAAATTTTTTTTGCGCTTTGCATCGGTTTGCAATTTAGAATGTTCTTCTAAATTTTTTTAACAACGAATAAATGATATAATATGCATCCAGAAAATTGAGGCCAGGGAGGGACTTTCACAGTTGGAGAGTCCATACCACCTCAGACCCACCATGGTTGGGCCTGAGGTAAGAAAATTTATGAATATGGCACCTTTAGATGGCCGGATATGGCAATATTTTTAATCTTGATTTTGTTCTGTTTTGATCAAGTTTAATTTCTATACAGTACTTCTGTTCTAATTGTATGTACTGAGGGTCCCAATTGATCAGCTCAGGATGGATGTCCGGTCGTAGGAGCAGCTGCTGCAAAAGTTGAATCCTGGAACACATGTCTGTAGTGTCCAATTTACCAGTTTTTGAAAACTGTTTACTGACAACAAAATTGAAAGACGGCTTTCCATATGTTCCACAAATATTCATTCTCTTGGATCCCAGGCCTGCCTTTGTTCTGTCAACTTACTCATTTTAATTCTGTCTTCCTATGCAATAAACTCTGACATACTTTAGATAAATATTCAACCGTAACAGAAAAAACAGTGCCCGCTTTTGTCCTCCCAACTACTTCATTTTATGACATGTACCTCACTAGAGTCTCAATTGTATACCTGTTAAATGGCACATAACATAGTAGTAAGCAATTACCGTAATTTAAAAAAATGAAAATATACATCTTGTTTTAACTTTAACAAATGAATTTGGCATAATCTAAAATCTTTGGTGGTATACTTGAAAGAATTTTTTCTGTAGTCTTTAATTGATTAATATTATAATGTTATTTCTTTTCTGTTTCTTTTGTGGCATGTTGTTTGAAATTGGCAATATACAGTTTTGTAAAAGTATATTTTAATTGATGTGGTATGAAATCACTAAAATTCTCCATTAATATAATATACAGTAGTATAATGTACATATGAAGAACGATACATTCAATTTGCTTTCAGAATACAGTACACTAAAATTTCAATAATATAAAAAGAAACTTTTTTTAGCAAACTTGTGTTCAACATTTTTGTCTGTATTTTCATGAATATTTGCAGCAAAACCAAAGCCACGCAGATGTGCGATGTTGGTGAATGAGAATTTATACAGAGTTTAACTACCTCAACAGTTTCTACTGATTTTAGATTTAGCTTGTATATGAACTTCAATGGAAAACGGAGAAAACAAGTTTTAGTTGTTGACGAACATATGCTGCAGTAACAACACGCACTTCAATGAATTTTTACATAAATCTTCGGTACATATATTTGGAAGTTGTAATTTTGACAAGATGACAAAAATATACATCTGCAGGACAACATAATTTAAAACTGCAAATTGACAATTAAAAACTCGTACTTTTTGCAAAATAAAATGATTGATTATAAATAAGAAATATTTCAAAATAAGTTTTGCTAAATATACATGTTTTGAAGACCGAAATACTTTGATACACTAAGCTTCTTCTATGATGAATACCGTCTTGGCTGAAGTCAACTGACAACTTGAAATTATGAAAGCAAGAAATTTTTCTTACTGGTTGGCAGTTATTATTTTCAAGACCTTTTTTGATGAGAATGATGGTGTTTGGATTCTTTGTTGCTGTTATCTATTTATATTGAAAGACATTGCAATATTACCACAGCTGTAGTCAAATGGCATGGAAAAACTGACTGATAACAATTGCAAGGAAAAGAGATCTCAATTGAATCGATAAAGACATTGCAGCATTTTTTATAACACTGTCTCATGGAGATCAATATGCGTTTAAATATTTCTTGCCTTCAAATGTTTTACTTTTAAATGTATGTGCCATGACATATGATAAGTAATCATCACTGCCGTTAGAAGTGGTTTGCGGAACAATGTTAGTGAACTAAGAAAGAACCTACATTATATCAATACACAGCGTAATAGACACCTCTGCATGGACACCAATGAGATATTCATCCCGCTACAGACACTGGATGTGCAATTGCTGAATACCAAATGTAATGTAGGATTATGGTGGGAGGCGTTAATGAGTCAAGTGCCCACTAGCAAGCTTGACCTGTTGATAACTGAAAGACAGACTTGACACAGATATATTTTTTAACTAATTACAGTATGACAGTCTAAGACTACAATCATTCAGAGTTTTAGTGCTGAGTACACATGTATACAAATCACTTGTTTCATATAAAAATGAATTGTATCAATTAAAATATGCAAAAAAACTGCAAAATTCAACAAAGTGACAATGTGGAAAGTTTGCACTTGGGAAGAGACAAAACAGATGGAAAAGAAGTAACCTAAACACTTCATGCATTATCTTTGAAATATCTAATCTTATTAATTGGTAATTTGATATTAATAAATCACTAAAAAAGTATTTAACTTATCACTATGAATAGAGAACAAAAAGTATTATTTTGTGTTGGTTAATTAAAATTTTCAAATTTGCTTAAATTGAATTTTCAATAGCCTTTTTTTTTTATACAAATTTCTCTGTACAAATGTTTCCTCCATGGTTTATTGTACTGCTTGATAATTTGACTTATATGAATATTAATTTGTCCTAAATATTCAAGAACTGCTTAATTGTGGGCTTATGTAAAATAAACTGTAAACTTTTAATGTTTACTGTACTTAAATTGCTTCTGAATTTGTATGTGCCATCATAACAACCGTCCATGCTTTGCTAACCTTTCTGTATTGAATCAATCTTAAGAGTAAATTTCAGATCCATCTTCATAGGTTTCATCTGCAATTGACCAATAACCAAATTTGTATAACCTTTTTTTGACAACTTTTCAACTTGTCCATTCCATGCCTCATCACCCTTGTTCTCGTCAAACCATATGTGGCTAATTTCTGCTTGCACCTTCTTCGCAGTCTTCTTTTTAACTTGCCGTTTTATCCTGGCAATGTTAATTGTGGTATTGATATAGTATTTCTTCTTTCTCCACTCATCTCTCAAGATAATCATTACTTTGTTTTTTCTTGTCCTAATGCTGCATGACAGGTAGTCGATAGTGGCATTGGTTTTGGTCGAGCAGAGAACATTCCTACTATCTGTTCTACATCTATATTGTGGTTCCTACCTGACCTAGTTTCCTTTTTTAACTTGTCACTCAGGTCAAACTCAAAGTATCTTTTATACTGGCATTCTAGGATTTAACTGGCAGTTAGACACTTCGACATCATCTCCTTAAACATCTGAACGTATCTGGTTGATGACGTAAGGCTAAGGCTACGGTCACATTAGCGTCTCAAGCCTGGCTTGAATCACCGCGGGTGAGATTTCAAGCCAGGCTCGAAATTCTTGGTCGGTCACACTATTTGGACTGACCTCTAAATTAAGTCGAAACAGCAGAGCCGTAAAGGGAGAGTTTTGCCAACTCTGTTTCACGGGATTCGATATACGCACGTGTGATTGGGTGGATCGCAATCAAAGATTTTACACCAGACGTGCCCGAACCACTCTTCTTCAACTGATCTTTATCAGCTTGTATTGGGCTCGCAATGGCTTCACTTTTGTTTGAATTTGGGCTGTCGTTCTCGTCTCATGTCCGAGACTGGCTAATCTGTCAGCAAGCACGCCAAAAATTCCTGTTTTGTTGTTTGTTTTTTTATTTTCTATCCGGTCTCTCAAATCGAGTTGGCCCCACAAATCTACCAGGTCAGCAGTTTACTGGTCGCTCCAAATCAATCCCATTATTGTTAATTAAAATTTGAATTAACTTTTATGAAAAGTAATGATTGCATCTTGATTGAACACCCATGAAGAACTCGCAGGTTTTTTATTCAAGAACTTCTAAAAACGGCGTCATCGACTGTGATTGGTCGACAGCTGACGAGGAAATGTCAATCTCAGTCACGCCAGGGTCAATCCAGGGTCAATATGGGTGCTGAGCCGGGATCAAGATAGGTAGATTGAGATCAAGGTCACGCCAGGCGCGAGTCGGTGCAGATGCGGTCACACTACGAGAATCTCACCTGCGGTGAGTCAAGCCAGGCTTGAAACTCTAGTGTGACCGTAGCCTAAAAGAAGTGGGTCTTTGGTTGGTAACTGACCACCAAAAAAATCTTCACAGGTTGTCAAAGTGTCCAGTGGATCTTTAATAAATTGTTTCAACCTTTCCATTAGACTTTTGACCTTCTTAAAAGCTGCAATGTTGTTCAAATCACTCATGCTTCCTACGTAAAAAGTCTCATTCACGGATCAGTCATCAGTTCAGCCAACAGTCCTAAAACAAAAGTTTAATTAACACATATTATCATGTGTTACTTTTGAAATAGCCATACATTTTTGTTGTATCTTGTATCTGAAAGTGAATTAAGGTGTGCTTAGTGTGTACAGACTTAACAATGTGTTTATTGGACCTCGGCGTAATATCTAATACTATTCATTTTTTGGTGTATTTTTTGGACCTCTGTGATGTCTTCTTTAACAGACATGTGTTTTATCAAAGAGATAATATTCATAATAATTAAAAAAAAATGTAATTAATTTAGTATCAGAACAACGATGCTCCCTCCTCCCCTTTTCCACTGCTTGGGGACAATATTGACACAAGACAAACATTCTATTCATTCTGATGACCTCGAGTAGTTTTGATGGGGAAAAAAAGATTCTGGAAGTAGAGAATGAAGAAATATTCAAACAAATTGTGAGATAAAAAATAATGCTTATTTACTTATGTAGTGAATAATTATAGTCCTACTACAATTATAAAATCAACATGAGGTGTTTCTACCCTTTAACAATTTTCAACCATCATTTGGGACATTAGGCCTTTCTCTGGTAATTGCTCTTTAATTAGAGTATAATCATAGCTTCAGTAATTTTATTACCCATGCAATACTCAACTATATAAATCAAGGTTTGTCTCACCTTGATCTTGATCCAAGTAGCTTGGAAAACGTGTTCAGTCCGATACCACCCATCCCTTTGTCTTGATTGGGATCTTCTAAGGGACTCGAGAGCCATTATAATCTACAATATGTGTTCATATACTGTACAAACAGTATAAAAATCTGTTTTTGGTTGACCAATAAATAATTAAATAGAGTAATCAGTAGGAAAGCCACTGGAAAAATCGTGTCGAATTTCGCCTAGGAGAGGGCGTCCTATTTTTCGAAATTAGTTCAAATTTTCAGAATTTGATGGTGTTTGAAAAAACGTTAATTCATCAAGTAACGTTTGACCCATAAATGACCTGTATCAACAAACATTGCGCTACTTTGCCTGTAACAGTAAGTAGTGGCTGGCTTGTACTAGGGTAGCTTGACGGAAGAACCAAAATAAATGTTCATTTGAAAACAATAAAATAAACATCGATCCAAATCCTATTAGGCTGGCTCTACTCCACAAAACGTGCCTAGGCTAGCTTAGGACTATCTTACAATACAAACGAGCCAAAAAATGATCCTCGGCAAATAGTGCCGTGGTACGCTTGTAAAGCGTCGGCAAATACGTCGGCATTGCCGAATGCCGACGCTAATTTCGAGGGCTGAATGTCTTATTATTGCATTACTGTAATGCTACAATCATCAGTCAAAAATACTTCGATCTGTATGCAATTTGCATGTTATACTGATCATTACATTACATAGGTCAATGTTAATGTTTATTACTCATGTTACATTGTAATGGACTGTGTGATCTTGATTTGAAAAATAGATTACATTAATGTTTATTTAATCACATAAACTGTACCTTGGAAGCGGTTTGGTGTAGCGGGAAAGGTTTGGTTTCCCAACCTCAAAAGTCGCGGTTTCAATCCCATTTTGCTTGTGTCCTTGAGCAGGTCATTTTATTTGCATTGCTCCTCTCCACTCGGGAGTATAATGGGTACTCGGGGGTCCGAGGTAAAAATGCGCTGATATATTTCATGCGGCAAACCTATTGAATTTCTCTCATATGCATTGTTCCAATGACTGGGGGGATAAAAATGTACAGGGGCAGATCCAGGATTTGAAGCAAGGGTTCAAATTTTTCCTAAAAGTACCAAAAAGAAAGGGCATCCGGGGCTCTCCCCCAGGAAAATTTTGATGCCTAGATGGCTGGAAATGAGCTTTCCCAACTTCTGAGGGGTCTTTTAATGACTTAAAATTAATTCAAAATTCAAGGTTTACCCCTCTTCAAAAAGGTCATGTGATTTCTATCTCTTACACAGTTGACCTATGTGTGTATACATAGAGAAAAAGAAAATAGACAGTTTTATTTCAAAGATCCCAATAAAGAGAACTCGCTGAATCAAATGGCTTGGAATTTAATCCCTGGTTATAATAAAAACTGGTCAAACCAAAACAGTGAAAATTTTATTTAATTGAAGGGTAATTAGGCTAAGGTTAACCTGTCCGATCTGCCTACCTGTCCTAAGTAGTTTTAGCATGCCTTTTGTAGGCCAGGATCCATGCAGTACCGTACAGTGGAAAATCATGCAGGACCTCGAAATAGAAGGGGCCCACAAATGGAGGGTCTACCACCTGTCTCTTATACACATCTAGATGTGTATAAGAGACAGGTAGTCCCGCCGGAGCTGAGGATAGGCATACGCTCTATATTTAGAAACTGAACTTAGCGCTTGTTCTCGGCGGCGCAAAAAGCGACTTCTGCTTTGATCGTGGGAATTTATATTGGCTGGGAAATTAAAAAACAACACAACTACTACGTTTTATTTTTTTATTTATTAAGTTAGTTTTATTTCATAAACACAACATTAAAACATTACATAGTAATAATAACAGTTAAAATTATTCAACTCAGTCATTTTACGGGTGTTGAAAATGAGGCATTGTACAGCACACCCCCAAATCAGAATCTACCAAGTTTGCTTTCACGCCTCGCTGCACATGTGGTCTGGACGCCGAAAAAGCAAGTGTTTTACAGCTCAGCATCTCTGACAGTTTGACCCATAAATGACCTGTATCAACAAACGTTGCGCTACTTTGCCTGTAACAGTAAGTAGTGGCTGGCTTGTACTAGGGTAGCTTGACGGAAGAACCAAAATAAATGTTCATTTGAAAACAATAAAATAAACATCGATCCAAATCCTATTAGGCTGGCTACTCCACAAAACGTGCCTAGGCCTAGGCTAGCTTAGGACTATCTTACAATACAAACGAGCCAAAAAATGAGCCTCGGCAAATAGTGCCGTGGTACGCTTGTAAAGCGTCGGCAAATACGTCGGCATTTCGAGGGCTGTTATCATGTGTTACTTTTGAAATAGCCATATGTTTTTGTTGTATCTTGTATCTGAAAGTGAATTAAGGTGTGCTTAGTGTGTACAGACTTAACAATGTGTTTATTGGACCTCTGCTTAATATCTAATACTATTTATTTTTTGGTGTATTTTTTGGACCTCTGTGATGTCTTCTTTAACAGACATGTGTTTTATCAAAGAGATAATATTCATAATAATTTAAAAAAATGTAATTAATTTAGTATCAGAACAACGATGCTCCCTCCTCCCCTTTTCCACTGCTTGGGGACAATATTGACACAAGACAAACATTCTATTCATTCTGATGACCTTGAGTAGTTTTGATGTGGAAAAAAAGATTCTGGAAGTAGAGAATGAAGAAATATTCAAACAAATTGTGAGATAAAAAAATAATGCTTATTTACTTATGTAGTGAATAATTATAGTCCTACTACAATTTTTTTAAACAATTTTCAATCATCATTTGGGACATTAGGCCTTTCTCTGGTAATTGCTCTTTAATTGGAGTATAATCATAGCTTCAGTAATTTTATTGCCCATGCAATACTCAACTATATAAATCAAGGTTTGTCTCAACTTGATCTTGATCCAAGTAGCTTGGAAAACGTGTTCAGTCCGATACCACCCATCCCTTTGTCTTGATTGGGATCTTCTAAGGGACTCGGGAGCCATTATAATCTACAATATGTGTTCATATACTGTACAAACAGTATAAAAATCTGTTTTTGGTTGACCAATAAATAATTAAATACAGTAATTATCTTATTTTGTAATTCAATTTTTGTAGTTTTGATTGTGAGGTTATTTGTTCAAGGGGGGGGGGGGGGGGGGGTGTGACAGAGGTGCTTGTCACCTGTTTATCCCTTCCTTTTCGCTGCCGTCCGTTGTGTTTTCCTATTGTATATGTCATCTGTGACTTGCATGTCTGTCCCACTATTCATAGGTCTACCAAGCAATAAAAGCCATTGCCTCATTTATTACCTTTGACGCATATTATCTGCCATGAATTTAGAAAAGTTTACATCCTGAAATGAGAATTAGCTTTGGATTCTACATGCTTCCTTTCTTGAGCCTTAATTGGTAATTTGTTTTTTTTTGCAAGCATCTAAAAGCAAATTATTAAGGTTAATACTTAATTTTGACTTCTTTGTTTTTATATTAGCATTGGCTTCAATTAACAATTTGGAGTTGACCAGTATACAGGGACTAAGTTTTCTAGGCTGGATAGTGTTCTGTCTGTGGAATAAACCTGGGTCGTTGTGAAGTGATATTTTGTGGCGAAAATTCAAGAATTATGATAGTTTGCTGGCGCTAGATAAACGGCGCCCGGTTGTTGTATGGTTTAGTCACGTCATTAAAAAGGACAGTAACTATTCAGGCGGCGGTCGGATGGTTATCTTGTGTTTACAATATCTCGAGGGCGAGTGGAAGAAGTGATTTGGCCATGTTTTCGAGTCGCATTTGCAGTCAAAGCTATAATTATCTTCGAGATTCGCAATATACAAAGTATTATAAGTTAAAACAGAGTCAACAAAAAATCTTAATTTACAGTACTGACTAGAGGACTTTCTACATTCCTCACGTGGATCGTGCGTGTGTTTCACGAGTAAAAAGCGTGGGCCATTATTCTGCGAGTGCTCAATTAACGCGTGAATGATTTTACTCGGCATACACTTCCTGGTAAAAATCAGAACTTGCGGTCCACGAACGGTCACGTGGGCGGGTAAAGTTGTTTATTCACAATCTCTTACCATGCTCTTACTAAAGTTCCTTCACGACATATCCAAGCGTGCTGTTACGTAATCTGCTAGATGTGTATAAGAGACTCTGAATACACTCCTTTGTCTCTATTGTTATTAGTACGAAGAGTCTTTCAGGCGTGGTTGATTAATAGATTTTGAGTATAGAACAATAATTGCATGCAGTAGTTAATTTTAGAAAAAATATCATTACCCGCGCCAATATTATTTCTTATTTCTTATATTAGGCTTAAGCGATTATAATTTTATAAATATTGTAAAACAATTTTGTTTTTTGTTTTTTTGGCCTATACATTTTAATATTGACGGTTTGTATACAATATTATACAGTGTTATGCCAATATTTCTTATATTGTTAATATATATTAGTTAGTATATTATGTTGTTTATATTTTTTATTCACTGTTTTTTAACCCGTTTATTATTGTACTATTTTAACTGATGAACATTCTGAAGATACGTATGTGTGTGTTTGTGTGTGTGTGTGTGTGTGGGGGGCAGTGGGGAATGATGTCTCTTGATTTTCCATACTTTATTACAATTGGCATGCAAATAATCAATCTCTTTTGTTTATGTGGTGGCTCTGAAAAGAGCCGTTTGTTTTGATTTGGGTACGTCTAACGGGGTTTTCTTAGGCGTCGGCAGCCTTCGTCGATGGAGAGGATACACTGCTTCCATGTCATCGTCTGTTCGCTTACGGGGGTGACATAGAAACGAAATACAGTTTCTTTGACGAACTGAATTTTAACTTCGTCAAGTTTGGCATGTCCTTGCTTCCCATTCACGTTGCTGCTAGCCATCTCTTCCTTGGTAAATAGCTTCCTCACTAGTCCTAATGCAAAGTTTTTAATCGATGTTGCCCATCTGTGCACCTCAGCGATGATTTCACGAGAGAGGTATTCGTAGTTGACGGAATTGTCTGTCTGATGGAAGCATCACTACGTGCGTCGTCTTCACCACTGTCTATGTCGTAGTCATTGTCCCGTCGAATTGCCGTCGAAGTTGTTCCAGCTGACGCACCACGACAAAACACTTGTGGAGCCTAAAGAAATAAAGTAATTAAAAACACATAAAAAAAATAAGAGGTACTGTAATATCAAAAATCCCTATAAGAAGGTATTATTTTTAAACGATATTTTAGAATAAACAAATCATTTAACATTGAGCCAATGGTTTAAACGTACTGCAATTATAGTAAGATGATATGCTCTATTACTGAATAAAGATGATCCGCTACCGATCC